AAACAGAAAAGAAGGAAACCAATTCAGAAAGTGTTACCTTCTACGTCTTTAGGTCTAACAAAAATGGGGAGCGGAGCTTCTATCGATACCTCAGGAGGACTAAATCCCTGTGTTACCAGAACCCAAGGCTTGATGAGGTCGAATTATTTCTCTGGATTACACTTCTCCAACTTTCACTTCACCTTCTTGTCTTCAACACTGAGCTCAGGTCGAATGCCTGAAAAATAATAAAAGGAGAGCAAAGGTCAGAAAGTCAACTCGATAATTTTTAAACCAGAACTTAGTCAGTTCGAGCAAGGACTCACCTAAGTTATCAAGGGTAGACCAGGCTCTAGGGATACTAAAAGTATCAGTCCTATCAGCAGGGTTGTACTCCCAGTTGGTGCCCCTAACAAAAAATAATTATTTTTTCCAGCCCTTATGGGAGCTTGGGAGGTGAGTAATGATCTGCCTAGCTGTGGTTCGGTTGGAGATATACAAGAAACCCTCAAATGAGGTGAACTTGACATTAAAAAGATCCACGAGCAAGGAAAGGCTGGGAACCCCTGAGCTCATGTTTCTTAAATAAAATTAGAAGACCTACCAAAACACCCCAGAAGTTAGGGGAGAGCTGAGCAGGGTAGATGTTGAAGTGTTACAAAACACTCTTGATGAACGGTATATAGGGAAGAGAAGGCCATTCTCAAAAGCGGCCATGAAGAAATAGACTTTCTTATGAACCTGGGCAACATATGGGGTGAATTTATCTGGACACTAGGAGGAAAACTGTAACGACCACTGAACATTTTCATAAAAGAAGGGTCAACCTCACTAGGGCCTACGAGCTCAGCATCCCTAAAGGCAGCCCCTGTGCCCGATGCACTGTCAGAGACTCCTACCCCACTCACATTGTCCTTACCTTTGTTAGGATTAGAGGGCACAGAAGAAGACGATGGGGGAGGTTCCTTAGTATTCGCCTCGGCGTCGACAACATCAACACTAGGAAAATTGTCTATTTTCTTGCCCACATCCCCTAAATCAGTGTCCTCTTCGGCAGACCTTTCTCCCAAGAGAGAAACAGAGGAGCGAGTAGTTTTGGAAGGGGTAGACATGATTAGACAGGAGAAAGGTAAATTAAAAGAATGGTAGAGGTGAGGGATACTAGTAAGGCACTCCCAAATAACTCTAGGGTCAATACAGTAGCTTCCAACAGCGAGAATTAGCACAATAAGGCCCTAATCCACGAAGTGGGGAAGTGGAGACAAGCAGCAGTTTCGATTCCAGAGATAAAAGAACCGAAAAGCCTAGAAATGCAATAACCACCTCGAACTTGAGGGATCCAGGACGAGAAAAGGCAAAAAAGTGGGCAAAAGAGACGCACCTAGTTAGGAAAGAGCAACAGCCTAGAACGAAATTGAAGAAAGAGGGCAATGCGAATCTTCAAATCGAACCCAGAAAACTCGATCTTTGATAAAGAATCGAAAAACTTCAAACTAGAAAGCCAAGAGACCACAAGAAGAGAGAGACAGCCAAGAAACCAAACAGTGGAAAACGGCGATTCTGATAGAGTATTTAAAGCTTGAGAGACGCAGACTGAAATGTGCATGAGAATCGAGAAAGCCATGATTGCTAAAAACCGTCCAAAAGACATCTATCACGTGCAAGCCAAGGACAGCCACGTGCAAGCCCAACTTGGTTTAAAAACAGCTCAACCCCAACCCAAGCTCGCTTGAACCAGGGGCTTGGGGGGCAACTGATGATACCTCAAATAAGTTATAAGAGTAAGCTCAGAAAACGAGGTTAGGTCAGGAAGTTAGGTAGGGTATAAGGAGCTCAGAAGTCCAGAGCTAGAGCTCCCCCTGGGGAGATGGTAGTGGAACTGACTAGGGAACAGCTGGATAACTGCGAAAATTGAGTTCAAAACATGAAACTCTCAACCAACTAAGATTCTCTCCTAAAATCAAAGAGAATCCCACTAATGACAGACAAAGATCTCGGTTGAGATCCTACAGAACAGAGAATAGTCCTATAAATATTATGTAACACCTCCATAGAGAGGCACGAATAAAAAATCATAATTTGGAGATATATCGGATTATAATGCATTTGAGCAGTGAATAAGACAACAGGAGGAAGATCCTCTATTAAGGAGTGGACTAGCCGAGCTTCTGAGCCGGTGAACCACTATATTTTCACTGTGTGCACCCCTTTAATCTCCTTAGTATTTCGTAGCAGCATCACACACAAGCCTTGTAGCTCTGATCCACACTCATCACACGTTCACCTGCACTTTTTGCTCATTAACATGGTCATACACCATCAATATTGTATTTGAGATGAGTTTTTTGGGATACAAATTGGACAACATGGCATTACTTTATACTGTAAGTGTGAATGTGACACCTCACTTTGTATCATTTATTTGGTATGCCAAACATTGCTCCTCCGGCTTTTAGAAGGGTGATTCGAGTCTGAGGCAACGCACTGAGGATCGGAGATGACACCCGTCCCGTTAGCTACATAGGTTACGACTTGGGCTTATTTATGGGCGACATGGCTTCAATGGCTAATAGATTGATCCAATAGACCTATATTTTAAGGAAAAACATTATTATTTTTTAAAATTATTTTATATTCCAAATTTTTAGGGAAGGCCCATCTAAGACCCACTAGAGCTAACTTTGGGCCTAAGTATTTTTTAAAGGGCTGGCCTAAGATTAGCACAAGACTGGCCAAACCCAAGTAACCCGACACATGACAAGCTTGGGCATAAAAATCAAGTCAGACCAGCTCATTGCCGACCTTTACTTTTGCGTAAGGGAGATATGGCTGTAGTACATAGGGTTGTCAATGCATTGAATCACATCGACTCATGTTTTTAAATCCTTGAAATAAAGTTGTATTAAGACAGATTTAAGTCATAAAGGGGAAGGTGTGCGAACTAAAGTATTAGTGGCTCATGCCACTCGGCATGACAAGCCAACTTTCCCACTCGGCAAAGGCAAGGCAAGCTTTGCCAGTCGTCGGCAAAGGCAAGAGAGGCAAGGCGAAGAGGCAGGTAGCTTGGCTCGCTACTGCCAGTGGCTTGCAAGGCCACTACCAGCAAGCGAATGGCCTGGGAGGTCCTTCTTTGTCCACTGTTGGCACAAAAAGCAACTATCGATGAGTCCTACTTAATAAAGGGTCAATCTATGACCTTGAGTCTTAATCTAATATCACTTTAATTATCTAGGAGCTAGTGATGGGGCACCGAAGAGGTAAGATCCAAGTAAAATGCTACTCTAAGCAACCAAGAGCTAGTGATAACGACTTATGACTAAGAGTCATAATCTAACTTTAGCCTGAAGTTCTAGGAACTAGTGATGAGATTGAGTCAATCAACCTAGAGTTGAGATTTTATTGGGACATATCTTCCTATTGCTATAAATAAAGGTCTTCGGATACTAAGTAAGGGATTCAATCTTAGTTTATTCACTTCACACTTCTTTTTGGCTTGCGATTTGACTTAAGTATCGGATTTCTTTTGCCTGCTTCCGACTATTGGTTCACTTAGGTGTTCTCTTGTTTTGTAAATTTCATGAAACTTCTTCAACACCTTCGTTGTCCGTACAAGAGATGGTTACTCTTTGTGTGGAATTATTTTTGGAGAGAAGGGTTCTTTGTGGCCTAATAAATTGTGTCAATCTTATTGATAGGAAAAATAATCTCCCTTGTACAGAATTATATGCTATCATTTTATGCTTTAACTTTTAGTCTTGCTGTTGGAATCATACCCTTACATATTGTGGTGAACTGGTCATCATTCATCATTGAACCAAGCCGAAAGCAAAATTCCTGGCCCTGCCGGCTAAAACGTGAGCTAATCAGAACAACATTGAGTGATTAAATTTAATTTATTGACATAATTTATTAATTTAATTTTTTATAATTATTCTGTTAAAAAATTTATTCATAATTATTAAATTGACAATGAACTCTAGTATTTGTTGAAACTCAATCAATCTAATAATTGTGATACATTAAATTAATAAATAAATTAAATTTAAATGATATAGTACACAACAAATACTTAAACAAACGCCTTGAGATGCTACGCATTGACTTGGGATAATCACCACGCACGCACATGCTAACCTGTTAAGCATGTGCAGCAGCCATGTTACAAATTAAGCAGATCATGTGACTTAAGGTTGGATTAATCAGATCATTTGATTTAAGTTGGACCTTCAATGATTATATAGATTAGTCATTAGTGCTGCAAAGTGTAAGCAACTCAGGCAAAATGATTCAGAACCATATTATAGAACTTGAATCATCTAGGCCCAGCTGAATATTCTAATTAGTGCATTAATTTACCGTCAGGATGTCATATTTGCTCCCAAAAATTCAAAAATATTCGAAGGTTCTGGTCCATTACTTGCAGGAGTTTGTTGTGCACACAACACTAATAATTATATGACATGTTATATTCACTGTATAATATTGTTCGTTTTTGATTTAAACTTGCGCAAATTTAAAAAACGTTATTTAATAAAGTGCAAAATTCATACTTATGTTCTACTTCACAACCATTTCACTAGTCGGTATAGGATTGGGTTATCACAATTTACCCCCTTAAACTCAAACTTCCTTGTTTAGGCTGTGACTTGTCCCGAGTGATGTGACCTCCTGGGGGATTACTCACACCACACTAGTTGCCATCGTCCCGTTGGACCAGAGTGCATCGAGGGATTCAGGGGCTTAGGTGACCTTTGCACCACAAGAGTCGATGACTCCGATACCAATTATTACACTCCAAAACTCTCATGGTATAATATTGTTCATTTTGAGATAAAGTTGCACGACTGAAAACACATTGTACAATAAAGGTCAAAAGATCACAAGTTCACACTTATGTGCTATTTCACATCCACACCAACCAAAGAATCAGAGAGCTATCGACCTAAAAATTAGCTCCCAATAAACAAATTCAACATGGTGCAAGCAGTTCAATTTACAATTTATTTACTTTTTTGGTAAATGTTCCATTTACAGCTTCACCCCTACTACATAAATGAAAATTCAGTTTCCTCAAACACCTCATTTGAGAAGAAAGTCATATTTCTGAGAGAACAATCGCAAATGTTTGACCATGAAATCAGAGTTTATGAGATTCATATAAAAGGATGGAAAAAACCTACACCTTTCTCTGCTAATAGTCAGATTCTGCATATAAATGCTTCAAGCCTCCAGATACATACCTAGGAAAGCCTTGTGACAGCCCTTGGAATGGAATCTGGTGGTACTGATTGAGAGATTATCCCACTGATACTTCCAGGGAGAGAGGGTGCCCTATAGTTCTCACCCCTGAAGAGACACAATAACAAGAGGGACACCTCTGGGGTCCCTCAGATAGCCACCATAGAAACAGAAAGAAAAGCTAAATACAAAAGTCCTTGAATTACTCTTAAACTTTTTGGCCCACTAAACCAGAAACAACCTTATTTCCTTGTGCCTTTTTGCACTTTTCCTATTACGTTGATTTGTAATACAAGCAGGGTGAAATGTCCAGTCAATCATAACGACATGCATAGGAGGAGAAAGCACAATTGATCTCTATCTAGTCTTCATCAAAAAATATGCTATGTAGAAGCTAAGAGATTGATCAGCGTTGGTAAGTAGAGATATTTCCTCATTTCTGCTGAGAAAAATTGAGCTTCGTAGATCTATATTACGCAAGGAAGCACATATTCAATAAAGGGCTTTTTATGCACAAAATTTGCATCAGCCAGTTAGGTACTGCAGAGACAGAAGGGGACTTGTTACTTGTTATTGGTGTTGCTGGGACGCATCAACATCAATATGATTTCAGAGAATTGAGGACGCTTTGAAGGGCAATTGTTCCAGCATTTCAGCATCAGAGATCTAAGGATTTGTGGGCAGTCCTTCGGTATCTCAGGTCTAAGGCCACAAGCAGCTATCCCGACTGCTGCCTGAACAGGTGAATATGCAGAGTATGCCGTCTCGCCAGTCACCATTTCCCATATAACCATGCCAAAACTATATGCATTACTCATCCATGTCTCTGTAACACTCTCTGGATCACCTGCAATGATCTGTGACAGAGAGAGAAGAATACACATAATGATTGAAAAGCTTATCTAAGATTCCACAGAAGCTATCGACATGTATCTTGGAAGATCACCTTCAAGGATGAAAATAAACATTCAGTTAAAGTTGTATGATACCCATACCTTTACTTTCTCCTACACCAAGTGCAGAAACACAGCCCTCAAATGCCTTAACACCCCCCCCCCTCCTCCTTTCCTCAATAAAAAAAAAAAAAAGAAAAAAAAGAAAAAAAGGGCAGGTGCTTAATAATTGAAAGGTTCACTAGGTGGGCTTCATTGATTAAACCAAATTCATGGAAGTGCTGCAGCCAAGAGTTTTTGGTTAATGGTAAATATTGTTGTGCCTAGTTAAAGTCATATAAAATTAAACAACTATTGTGGTGTAAAGCAAAAAACAATTATCAAGACATTTGGTGCATGCTTAGGCAATGATGCTATGATAAGTGACATAAAGTTCTCCTTGAGTACAGTGCCCCTCATAAAGCCCTAATTGCATACATTGAATCAAATTATTATGTTTGAATTAAACTAATAAATGTGCCATCACGAAGAGCTTTACTATTGATAAAGGTTTATCCAGGTAAGGCTATTGCGATTAATCATGAAAAGCAAGATATGACTACCAAGCACATTACTAAGAAGGGTAACAACACTTGTTCTTATTAGACAATAAACAAGGCTATTATGATTGAACTTATCCTAAAAGCAATATCAAAAACAATTTTTACATTTACTGCCTAGAGTGCCATGGTGAAATGATCAATTCAGCGGACCCCTAAGGAGCATTTCCACCCATTAACAACACATTTCAAAAATAGCATTGCTTCAGATCTTTGAAAGGGGGATAACAGTGAAAATTGGGCTTATTTTCATATGACGGATAAAAGCAGAAGCCACACACTTCAAGTGTTGCACAAAGGAAATGAAATGATAGTATCTCCTGTGTGGTCCTGTCTTTGCTTCAGAACGTCAGCATAATGCGATCCAAAAATGAGATGGGCCAGATGACGAAGCCATGATCAAAACATTAATCACCTAAATGTATGTTTGCATATCTCACAAAAATGGGAGAAATTTCTTTGTGTCCATGGATAAAAAGTCACAAATCCTCGCATGGGATGAAAAGAGTTTTACAAGGACTTGTTCAAATGTTTTGGGAAGCACACCAAATGATCTAACTAAAGAGTAATGCAGATTTGCCTTCAACATGGATAGATTTAATACAGTGAAAAGGAGATGTATAACTAGTAAAATGGTCTTGATAAACATGAGAATAGTGAAAATGAGAAGGTATTGCAAGAGGGAACAAACCTCAGGAGCTAGCCACCGATAACCATCTGTTTCGTATTCCATAGCCTCACCAAGACTCTTACAAGCCGCGATTATACCCATGTCTCCCAAGCATGCATTTCCATGCTTATCCAACAAGATCCCCTGTGTATTGAGATCTCTATATGCAACATCATGATCATTCATGAACTTGATCCCCTCTGCTATATCAGCAGCAATCCTTATAACTTCCTTAGTCTGCAGCTTTTTATTCTTCATCATAACTTCGTGAACTGATCCACCCTCCATCAACTTAGTCACAACACACAGCCCATGATTATCATCAATGCAAACACCATAAAATGGCAAAATATTCTTATGCCCACAACTCATCAACTCCAACAGATCTTTTCGGAGCTCGAACTCATAAGAATTTCCCTTGTCACACCCCTTGAGCTTCTCAATCCCAACCCTTCTCCCCTTGTAAACTCCCTTGAAACTATTTGGGGCAATATGATCGATAAACTCAAGATTATCAGAGTTCAACAACCACTTCCCAATCTCATCCCCACCAGATTGCACTGTTTGCCATTCGTCAACTGATATAACATAAGATGAAGTGGGTAAAGGCATCTTAAGCATCACCCTCGGATTCGAATTCTCGATCCCATTTCTATAATTCTGTTCACCATAATCCTCTTCTATCTCTCCAAGATCTCTCCTCCCATTATTTTCCTCTTGACAACCACAAAGCCCAAACGGAAGTTTAATTGGTCTCGGCCTCTTCAGAGCTGATTTTAATGCATTTTCGATCCGAGCTTTAAACATTTTCTCTTGCCCAGATTGAACCAAAAGCTTAATAATTCCTAAAGTGAACCCCTTTTTCTCAAAGATCTGTATTTTCTTGCAACAAATCGAAGCACTGTCGAGTGCACCGGACATTGCCGGCCACGAAATCGACGAGTTACAAGCGAAAGTAAGCTTGAATACGGAACCCTGTACTTCATCATCAGACATTTCTTGAATCAGTATTGCAGGTTGGTCTTCGATTGACGCTTGCTCAATCAATTTAATATGTAGAAACACATCCTTCAACTCAAATCCCGCCTGTGCATAACTGTCCAATTTTCACAAAATAAACAGAAATTTAAAGTAACATAAGAGACCAAATGTATAACAGTTTGCTGAAATAAAGAGTAGAACAGCTAATGCTCTGTTTGGTTGCTGAGAAAAAAAACTTGGAAGCTTGTCTTGAGCAGTCATGGGAACCTTTAACGGTTATTGGACCCACTCTTTCGGTTTTCATTTCTTTTATTACGTTTTCTCGGGAAACAAACAGAAAATTCAAGATTTAGTGTTCAGCGACAACAGACCTGAGTGGTAACGAATCGTAATGCTTGCGAAGGTTGGAGACAAGCTTCTCCGGGAGCTGAGAACCAGGGTACAGCTGAGTCAAGTTCCGTACAACGCTGCCCCAGACGTGCTTACGACAGCTATCGGCACGAGTCGAAGGAGGCGGAGCCGTTGAGTCACGAACCGAGTCGAGGTTGAGTGTGTTCTTGAGCGACGCGATGGCCTCGGACACGTTTCGGCTCAGCCTCTGCAACCGCTTCTGCATTGCCGTTGACTCTCTAACTCCGCCGGCGGCGTTGGTGGAGGAGGAAGAGGAGGTATTTTCCGGTGGGCCTTCCGATCTGTCTTGGGTTCGCACTAAGACTTGTTCTACCATGTCCTCGTCTGTGCTGGCTCGGCTGGACCAGCATTCTAGAGCTGCAGCCATGGCTCAAAACAGTGGACTCAGGAGTGTGGCTAACTGAGATCAGTTACAGGCAATTTGTGTGAGCTTTTAGAGAGCGAAACAGAGAGAAGCTTGTGTTAATATGAAATTTTTGGGGGTGGTAATAGTAGCATTATGCTTCCGGGAGGGGGATGGAATGGGGGTAGTTTTTCTGGGTGGTGACGGTGAGAGTAATAAATGGATGGGGGAGGGGTGGCATTGGTGAGTAAATATTGGGTGCGACACTTAAACTATCTTAATATGTAATTATTTAATAATAATTCACCAAATAAAAAAAATATATCATATTTATTTCAATAACTACCCACTATATAGGATAGTATTCATAAAAGAAAATAGAATCAATGATAAAAAAAAATTACTGCTTTTAAAATAATTTGTACACGTGTTTATTTATTATTAAAGATTACACCACCTAATAATATTATCTACCTTCCTCGCAGTGATTGAGAGTGTTCCGGGACACGATGCGATGATGATGATGCTGCCTGATGGTGTGGTGGTGACTGATGAATGTGATTTTTGAGGGAGATAGATAGTAATGAGATGTCGTCGGAGACTGGAGCAGTGATGGGGACGTGGGTCCGAGTGGTTTCGTGATATTTGGCCTTTTGGGGCCACAGTGGTCTGGCCTGGTCCTTCGCGGGACCCTTAATTTTCATGTCATCTGATTCTGAAATATATTATTTAACACTTAATAAATAAAGTTGCGAACGTTATTGTCTGTAGCTCAGTGGAAAAAGGCTCTCTGTATCAACCCGAAAGTCGCAGGTACGACCCCTACCCGATGTTCCATTTTTGCTTTAACTAGTTAGCATTACGTGCAAATTTATCATTTTCTGTTTCAACCTTGTAGCATTAGGATGATCATTCTCTTCGGCACTATAAAGTCAAAAAAGTAGCAATGAAAGCAAATACTCTTCGTCTATTTTTGCATGACCCCAAACCAACAGGATAAGACATGTTAACTTGTCAAACATAATGTATGGAGTTTATTTCAATGCAACTAATGACGAAAAATTGAATATGCTAAAATCTAATCGATTTACGTAGGCTTATTTAGAATATGAATCATATGATATTCCATACTATGAAGAGATAACTGAAGCCCTCATCTCTAAAGTTAATTTGAAGCTCACTTAAGCAACATTTTAATTGGATCTATTGCACCATTTTTTATGTTGTAACAAATTATAACATAATTTAACAACTAAATTTGAATTGTATATCCAGTAACTGACATGTCGGTAAGTCATATAACACGAAAAAAGGAAAACATAGAGACTCTCTAATCGAATATGTTCAAAGTGTTTGAAAAAAAGAAAAAGGCAAAACTTATTTTGTCGGGTCTAGAAACATAGTCCTCGTCACTTAAGTTCATTTTTGCAGTGCATCTTGTCAAAAAACAACTGATATTAAAGAATGTTAAACAATGGATGAGCACCAAAAATCCACGACTTACAGAGAGAGAGAGAGAGAGAGCAAATGAAAGAATATCAGAATAGTCACATCCTTCCATTGTGCTGTGAGGTAATTAGAGGTTGCGGATGACAGTTAAAGATAACAAACCTGAAATTGTTGTGTGTAATGCATTCATTTATTCTAGTATTTTAGATGCTTGGTTTACCATTAATAAAAGGAGTAAACACAACGGCAAGCAAACTAATATGTAATAAAATTGTATTGATTCAAGTAACTAAGCTTTTCTAGTCTAATGCATTTCAAGCCCATTTTAAATCTTGTTTTATAAGCAAGCCCCTTTTAAATCTCAAATCTAGATTTACACAAAGCTTCAAGGAAAAAATTGAAGAACCAACATTTTATGTTAAATGACACATGTTTTAAAGTTTCCAATTCTAAAAGTGCATTCATATGCCCTTGCGCGTAGTAAGGCTAAGTTCTAGACCACCTACATATTAACAACCAAAAGAAGGCTAGAACAAAAAATAATCAGAGTAAGTATTTTTCTAAATTTAGAAATAAATAAGAGACATATAACTTTTTTGTTAAAGTTCTATGAATTATCGGCCCTTGAGAGCCAAGAAAATCCAAAAAATAAAGCTCTTCAAATAAAAAAGAGACTCTTATTTTATTATATATATTGCTTATAATTTAGTAGATATACCAGATATCTTTCGTACAACAACATGTGTGACATGAGATGCAAATGTCAATCCTGTTGAAGTGTTCATCCATTCACCAGGAAGGAACAATGAGTCATTTCAAAACAACATCGCTTCCTTCAACCACTGGCAAAAATGGAAAAAAAAAAAAAAAGAAGCAACATCAACAAAACCAATGATCTGAAACTTTGCACAAGTATATATATTTAGACCAGTAATAAAAATGATTCTTATAAACAAATTCACCTCGGTTCCATAATTTTGTAATATAATTAGTTGCACTACTTTTTTGTTGATTTTCCAAAATAAAAATCTCAGAAAAGTCATTCATAAATGCCAAGCCGTTGATGCTTGGAACCCAAACTTGATTCAACTTCCAACATTCTCAAGAACTTAAGTACATATACGAAAACTTATTTTAAACTATAACTACGCACATAAAAACAATGACCATGGCTGCAATTCTGTCGATAATATGCAGTTAGCGTCCAAAATGAATGTGTAAATAATGGTTAACAATCAAGAAATTTAAAGTAAAGAAATAAAGAAAACCTATACCATCATATATAAGACCTTCTCATAGAAGCTCGAAAATTACAATTAACAATCAAGAAATTTGAATTATAAAAAAAAAAAAAAAAGGAAAATTTATACCATTGTTTATATTACATGTGTAGGAATCATGCATTGGATATAAAAAGAAGTAAAAGTGTCCTAATGTATCGTGAATGGACTCACTACCTAAATAATTAGCTTTTTAGGTATGTATGAATTTTAAATTGATATATTGAGCCTTGGATCATTTGGCTCCCAGTCTCCAAAACAACCATAATAAGACCTCCTCCTAAATGTTTGAAAATTACATTCCGATAGCAGAGCCGACTCAAGAGGAATAAGGAGATTGAGCAATTTCATCTAGTCTAGTACTATCCATTACAGTAAATACATATAGCAACTTGAAATTTCACTATTTTGTTCTCTACGTCATAAATCCAACCTCAGAAATGGAAATATCATATTTGGACAAAAACTAATCTGGTAGAAAATTTTGACGGATTAAAAACACCGTATAATCTTGAATATTTGTTACTCTAAAATCTATTGTGATCGATAGAATGCCTCAATCGATAGATAGTTCACAAACGATTTCTTATGGATAGGTTCAATTGCCTCATTTTAGGACTTTATTGGATAAAATTTTAAAGAGATGAACACAAAAAATGACGAATTAATAAAAGTAAATTTCTTTATTAATCCGATCGAATGGGTTTTAATACCAGAGATTGAATTAACAACCTTTGATTACAACACTAACTACTTCCTAAAACTAACTTTAATACTAATCCTAAATGCCTTGATCGTGGGTCTTGTCGGGGGGGGGGGGGGGGTTATTTTTTCACTTCTTTTTTTGTCCACCTTTTATAATCACTCTCTTCGACAATTCCACTGTTCATCAACGGTTAATTGATTTGTAACTATCAGAGAATTATTCTCTTCTTTCAAACAAGGCCATTGTTGATCATTTTTCGCCTTTTCTTCAAATTCTTGGCACATGGCAACCCATTCCTGATCATTTCCTGGCTTACAAACTGCCCATGCATCAAATGTTCTTATAATTTTATATTTTGAGTCCAAACAATTCCCCTTTATTTAATTGGGTGTATCTTGTAATTAATCCAAGTAAATGAACAGTCACATCCGTTGTTCTTCTTTCAACATCCACTTAAAACAACTTTCAATGGTTGGTTCACTTCATTTAAGTAGGTAAGTGAACAGTCTATAACTGCCAAAGACCACTAAGCCACTATTTAAAAGGCCTAGTCACTATCTTTACTTACCCAAATCCTCACCCATTATGTTCTTTTCCGATTCACCCTTGGCAGTTTCCCCTTGGCTTATCTTCAAATCTGAATCTTTCCTTTATCTTTAATGGTGTCTAAGCGGAAAGTAGATCAAGGCATTATTGTTGTCCCTCCTTCGAACACACCACCTGTCCTTTGATTCTCTATTGACCGTCGATATGTCACCCGAGACCTAGTTGATGATCGAATTCTAATCCCCTTTGAAGATTCGAGTTCCAACTTCGCCCTAGGCCCTGCCTTTAAATCTAGCATTTTTCAAGCATTATCTTAGCCTTACTTCATTTCGCATGGAGAAATCTTAATGCTTCATTGTCCTCAACTTCGATGGAAGCACCGGGATCAACGGCTCGCCCCCTTGACAACTTGGGTTAACCCAGACCATCGATAGTTTGACTGGGTAGAACGAATGGAAGTACATTTCTCTGAATAGTGGAAAGAGCAAAGGATTTATAAGCAAATCAAGTTCTCCACTTGCCCACTGTACATGAATCACTGGCTCATACGTGTAGCTAGTTGCTTCTGGTCAAAATCCTGCAATGACATGTTCTTCCTCTTGGCATGATGTCCCCCTCAATTCTCGATATCGTGCATTTAACTGGCCTCTTGTCGACTAGGATTGAAGTAACCGCCAATCTAAAACTTGACTGAATTTTGATAGTGTGACGCCCCTAAAAACGGGGGTCATTAATTTACCGTTGACTACCCATCAACCTGCGGAAAGACCCGTGAGTGTCGCTTGATTCGACATCATGCTAATATTATTCCATTATTCGAAATTTTAACTCACACGAGTAACTCATGTTCCTTTAATCATATATCCAACCAAGATCCAATATACCTCATACCTCATGCAATGCCCATTTGTATCATTGGAACCAAGGAAAACAAAGTCTAAAAACATGGCACTTTAGTTTTAAAATTTCAAAATTTTGGAGAGAATACTGGTATTGTTTGTTCACTGGCCCTGTCAGTATTGGTATCGTTTGGACTGTACCGGTACAGTCTGCCTTTCAAATTTTTTTTCAAAGTTTTGGATAGAATACCGGTACTGTCTGCATGCTGGACCAAACTGTACTGGTACTCTTTGCCTAGTTTAGCCTTTTTTCACTGTTTTTCATTTCTATTCCATTCCAAATCATCTCTTTTTCATCCAAAATATGCGTAATAATGTTTATCACATAAAACTTGATTTCTACTAGTTCTATTACAAACTATTTATACAATTATATACTCAAAATGGAATTTAACCAAAGTTTTACAAAAACTCGTTTTCAAAAGTCACAACCCGACTTTTCTTCACCATTGAGGTCCCGAATTTGAGTCCTCCACCGGTACGAACCCCGCACCTGAAATGTGTTCCCGTATAGAGTGAGCCAAACCTAGTAGAGTATTTCCTACAAAGACTACTCCCCACTTAAGTGCATATGAAATATTCGCATGCAATAATCATAATCATATAACCATTTCAATCAAGAATATATGCATTACTTGT